AAGAATGAGAATATGATAGGGGCATCTACATCACCAAGAACGTCAGTGGTAGCTCTCCTCTGCAAGCCAGGGCTGATGGTCAGATACGTGTTCACAGAACTGACTTTGTTAATAGCAAAGGGAATAATGGGACCTAAAGAAATAGAGTGAGTTTGGAGGTGTTTGATTGCCTGAAGCCGGGGGATTACAGTTACTATAATGACTGGCAGGATTGTAAGGGCAGCCATGAGGACTTGACTTGCAAGAAATTATGGGGGGATGCTTTGGCATCTCTAGGATAAAATTAGATGGACAGTCAATGAGGGAACTGTTTTACATCTACAAACAGAAGAAGGTAAAAATGAAGGAACATGAGTCTAAAGGCAGTAGCTCTTATTAAAAGTCATGATCCCTTGCTCAATTCCTGGATTCGAACAAATTTTCTGGTATAATGCCCATTGAATAAAAGATATGGGTTCCAGGAGGAAGGATGCTGTAACAATGCAGCAAGAATAGACTCTAAAGTTTCCTCTAGTTCTGTGGCAAATCCTATAGTGTTGGAAATGTCAGTGGTGGGTAAGTATGCAGTGTGGTGTTTATAAGCCCTAGTGGGAACATTATAACACAAGTCTCTGGAGTTCTGGAGCCATCTGTGGCAGAAGAATATGTGCCTTCTGAGAAACAGCTCCTGCTGTGTTGCTGAGCCCTCATAGAGACATACTGTTGCCCATGGAGTAACAGGTGACCTTCCACTCAGTATTACTCATTAAAAATTGGATTCTGTTGGACCCAGAAATCATAAAGTTGAATGGGTCCATTAGCATTCCATGTATTTTAAGACGGAAATAATACATCATGGATTGAGCCTGAGCAGGACCAGAGGGCAGGAGTATGAAACATAAGCAGGTAGCCCTTTTGGGGTTCATGTTACCCACTACAATTGCTTCATTGCCTGTGCTCCAGCTTGCACATATGGCCTGATAGAGGTTGTCCCCTATGACCAGCTGAAGAAGGGAAAATAGCCTGTCTAGCTTATGAATAGGTCAGTATGATATGTGGGGGTGAACTGAAAATTGGTAGTGGTTGCATTACAGTCACATTCAGGGATGGCTTTAAAACACAGTGGAGAGAAAAACTTTTCCTAATGGGTGGAGCTGCAAGTTAGGCACCTGGTTATCTACTCTGTGGGAAAGGAAGAGTGTCATGAGGTGAAAACATATACAAATTCTTGGCCAGAAGCCAATGGCCTAACACTGGAAAAGAAAAAGATTAGAATACTAAAGAAAAAGAGGTCTGGGGAAGAAGTATGCAGAAAGACATATGAGAGAGGATACAAAGTTTGAAGAATTTTGTATCATCTGTCAATGCCAAGAAGTTGCCTATTACAGCAGAAGTCCTGAATAACCAAGAAGACAAAATGATTTGGCCAATGACTTCAGAAGGCCTTTTTCATAGACCCTCCAGAGATGGCATGATGGGCAGATGAACAGCCTAGCCACAGTGGCCTAGATGGGGGCCATACACTGGCCCTATGGCCACTTAACTGAGGCTGATCCAGCTATTGGCACCTCTGAATGTTCAGCCTTCCAACAACAAATACCAAGTGGACACCTGTTGACAATTCAGTTACGCTGGAATTGTTCCCTTATAGAAGAACCAGGAGATCACACTCACAGGGATAGAAATACTCTTATTATGAGTAGGGGTAATACTTATGGCTTTGAGTTTTCTTCCCACAGACCTTAAGTCAGCACCATTTGCCTAATAAAAGGTTGATCCACAGACATGGAATTTGTAACATAACATCCAACAAGAGGAACTACTTCATTACAAATACGGTACAAAATTGGGCTACTGATTGAATCACATACCACAACACCCAGAGGCAGCTGGTGTCCCATAATGCTGGAAGGCACTTCTATGGCACAGTTGGAGTGCCACCTTGATGGCAATGCTGGGCAAGGGTGGGTTGGTATATGTTAGGACACAACATATGCACTAAGTCAGAGGTCTAAATAGGAAGGCTGTATGGGCCCAAGAACCAAGGGCTAGAGAAAAAAATGGCACCCTAACCATCCGCCATTTCTCCTAATGACCCATTTGGAGGTCCCAGTCTGCAAAAGGGGCAAACTCTTGCCACAGGAAACAGCAGAGATCCTGTTAAACTACAGTATAGAGCTGCTCCTGGGCGTTTTAAACTTTGTATCCAGAAGACAGCAGGAGAGAAGAGAAGTCATCATCCTGGCAGAAGAAATTGAACCTGATCTCCCGAATGAGGTAAGTGTGCTTTTACCGTAAGCAGATAGAGGTATGCGTGTGGAATCCAGGTGATCTACTTTGAAGCCTTGTGGGAGTCTCTTGTTCAATTTTAATGGTTAATTGACATGTGCAGCAATCCTAGTTTGAGAAAGTATGATTACCTCGGGCTGACCTGTCAGGAATGAGTATCCGGGTCACGTCACCAGGTAAACTAACAGGACCTCTGGGACTAACTACAGAGATGGGGTTGTAATTTGTCCTCCAAACCTTCCTCTTTCAGAATTTTTCTCAGGGAGAGTGACCCACAGGAATGAGGGAATACTTCCTAAAAACGTGTGCAGAGACTCTGAGACATTCGAGATGGACTGTGGTGGTCATGGAAGTGTACCACGCAGATATCCCCTGCAAGATAATCTGCTGCAAGAATAGTTGGCAAATAGCCTCTAGTTGCTACATTTTTGGATGCATCACAGTGTTCATGTAAAGTTCATGCTCCTCCTGGGCTGTCCCTAGCCTAGGAACAGCCTGGGGACAGCAGAGCGACTAGGGCCAGGCAATTCCTGCCTGACACAGCGCTCAGCTGAGAGCCCATCTTTGCTTTTGGATTGTATTGTTCACCCTACCCAAGCTCTCTTTTTTTTTTCTTCTCTCCTTTCACAGATGTCAGACTTGCATTAGAAACTGGAGGGTTTTCCTGTTCCTGCTCCTCTTTTTTATTCTCTGCAGGTATTTCTCCCAGTAAATCACTTACACATCTAATTCTGTCTTGGAATCTGCTTCTCACAGGATTCAGACTGACACATCAGATAATGCCTATGAAAGTTCTCATTGTGATTAAAACTAAGCACTCTAATATGTTGTAGAAATGGTTTATTTCTTAAACAGCTTTCTAGTAACTCTTAACCATGCAACTGTGAATAATTTGCATGCATATACATTTTCATTATGTGAACACATGGATATAATATTGCATTTATTAATTTGAAATAACAGAAATGTTCATCTGTATTTGTCAGATGTCCATAATCTATTATAGAATTATAGAGAAGCAAAATTCCAATATATTATATTATATATTATAAATTATAATTTGTCGTACAACATATTCCTTTTCTATTTATAGATATACTTTAAAGGAAGTCATATTCCTCCTGGAATCCACCTCTGATCATTCAAAGGTTAAACAAAAAATAGCCTAAATAGAAATATATATTTTATATCGTTTTTAATTTTGCCACTGTTGCAGAGCAAGATAAAAAATCGTATTTTTAATTTGGATAAAATCCTCTTCAGAGGTAGGTACATGTGGGTATTGTTGCAGGTACAGAGGGTAGACTGGTTGGTCTTCTATTGTTTGTTAGCTGAAAACTGCAGTATTCTGTGACATTGAATTAAAATGAGAACACGTCAAATAGGGCAAATTACAGCTAAGTTTCCACTAGTCCGCAATGCAGAAAATACAGGGCGCATTAATAACTTTTGACCTCATTACTTTTGTATTTGTCTAACAAGAATGAAGTATTTAAGTCACTGCTATGGTAACTTTGGATTTACATATTTTTTTAAGATCACACTTTTTTTAGAGATTGTTTTATCTGCTCATAAAAGATACATATTCTAGACATTCGGTTAAGAAAAGAGATGCAAAAAGAATTATTTCTATTCAAGATGAAGTTTGTATCAGGCTACAAGTTGCTTTATTTAGAAAAAATATGCTGTCCATGTTTGGGTGGCTTTTCCTATGCATACTGTCTTGTCAAGGACTCTTCCCTCAACTGCAGCCCTTGCTGAGTAGCTATGCACAATGAATTATATATCATGTGACCTTTTACTTTGTGGCTGAAGCCACATCTCTAGTCTTCATTTTTCTCTCTTCAGTTTGTTTTTGGAGTTTCATCTGCCTGCTGGAATTTCCACCTGAAAGAGCTAATGTTACCTCAGATTCATTCTGTTGTGTAATAAAGAATTTGGCTGGTTTTTGTCTCTGGTCTTTGGGTGGAAGCCTCCAAATCCTTGGATTTCCCATGTGATAGGAGTGTTTGTTATTTATGTTTTATCAGCATAAACACCTGAGTTTATGCTGATGAGACGACTTATGGAGAGCCTCTAGATAGTTTATGCTGATTAGATGAGTAAAGATGGGTGGTGGCCATGCCAGAAAGTCCTATCATGTGATTACAGGGTTGGGGCTTTGAGCCTTGTGATCTTGGCCTGACTTCTGGCTTAGAAGAAGGAGGTTGAATTTTGAGTTCAACTTTATGGCCAATGAATCAATCGGTCATGCCTACATAATGAAGCTCCAACAACAACTCGATACAATGAAGCTCAGTTCACTTTTCTGGTTGTTGATACACATGGATGTGCCAAGTGGGTGATGCATTCTGGGGACATGGGTGATTCAAGTTTGGAAGCCTCTCAGATCTTGCCCTATGCATTTCTTTATTTGGTTGGTCCTGATTTTCATCCTTTCTAACAAAACTGTAATTCTGAATTTTCTGAAGTGTTGATATAATTTATTGAACTCTGTAAGTTGTTCTAGTGAATTTTCAAACCTGAGGGGGTAGTGAGAACCTCAAAAAATATAGCCAGTTGGTCCCAAGTATGGGTGGCCTGGGAACTCCAGACCTGTGACTGCAGTCTCAAGTGAGGGCAGTCTTGTGGGGTCTGTGCCCTTAACCTGTGTAATTTGACCTAACTTGCTTTGTTAGTATCTGAACTGCATTGCATATTCTTTAAATCCTGAAGCATAATCCTTTCCAAGAGCCAACAAGCTTACCTGCTGAACTTTGTTTCTATTCCCTCATTATCAGCCATTCAGTCTAATCTCTTCCCATAAACTTCTTACGTGCTTTGTCTTCAGTTCATGTCCAATGCTACATGTGTAACTTTTGTTTTTTGTTTTTTTTTCACCTGAGCTGTCCCAATACTACTTAAACTGGCTCATCTTCACTGTAATCTATTCTGTATTTCCCAGTGAAGTTCATCTTCCTCACACTCTCCAAACTCAAATATCTTTTTTCAGAGATGTCTAGCTAGTACCCACTGCAACATCTCTCAAGTAGCAGGCACACATGTATATGTTAAATAAATATCTCCCTGTTGTCCAAACTCCGCAGCTGCAGGGGAGCCTGCAATTGTCTCCTAGGTACCCCTTCAACCTCATCTTCTCTTACTTATGTAAATGAATCCTGTATTCCAAACCAATTACTTTACTCATCACTTTGCTTACTCTCAAACACTATGGATCCATCCCCTCTCCACTGACCAACCAGTGCCTGTCGAAAAGGCTCTGTCTCCCTTTGTACTAAGTTCCATCCCTGCTGTGTGTCTTTTTAGATTTCTCCATTCCTTAGGGATAGCTCTCACTTCTGAATTTCTGTAGTACTTATTGTATGCATACTTCCATACTGTATGTGTTGTGTTGTATGTGGTTATCAATTGGCTACTAGTCTAAACCACACAGGATTTGGGTTATTTTCTATTATTGCAGGTTATTTTGTAAAACTACACCATGGACTTATGAAAACAGGCAAATATAACTTCTTGTGATCTCAAGGACATATGTAATAGACACGAAAGTTTTTCAGTTTTGCTATAGAGTTTCTTGTCTAATTAGTACAATCAGTCAAGTCTGAACTGTTAAAAACAATGAAGGTGAGAAAAATATTTTAGCTACTAATTCTTAATATATTCTAATCAACTCGATAATTTAAATGTCCTTGAAATTGTAGAGATAGCATTGTCCATATTGTCCTGCTGAGAGCCACAATTACAGAGAAATTCATTTGCTGTTCTTCATTAGGGCATGTGTGATTTTTCACTTACTTGCTGTAATCTAAACTTTTCTCACTTGAATGCCCAGATAACAAAGGCTCACTTCTCCCACCGTAGAACCAAACAAAACTGCGCCTTTAAGTATAATAAGGTGACCCTTTTTCTTTCTCAACAGAGAAGGAATCATGTCCCAAACATCATTTAAGCAACACAACATATTCAGGCAGCTTTGCATCTATAATTTGGCATATATTCTTACACTACCATATGCCCGTATATAATTGAAGACTAAATATTAGCATTCAATTTTTTTCATTTTGTAGTAAAGAGAAGAAAAATAAGACTTCAGTGTCACTAGTCAAAAAAGATACACAATTCAGCATTCACTTAATAGAAAGAGACATACCTTGTGTAGAAATGGCCCCAGTTTGAGAAAACACAACTTTTCAAAGAAAGATAAAGCCCTAGAAGTGATTGCAGGGAATTTACTAAGCTTTTTGGGCAAATGGGTTCTGCAGCATTAGGGCAGCACTGTTTTAAAGAGTTTTATATGTTCTGAACCTGAATGATCAATGATACTACTGAAAAACTATAATGTTATGAAGCTGAATTTTAAAGTGTAGAATACCTAATCTGTGAATAGAGATGAATGTGCTTGAAAATAAAGATGAAGTGAATAGTGAAAATTTACTTCTCTGCAAAGTTTTCTCTGATAAATTTCAAATTTCTTTGTAAGAGTCCACATTATTTTTACTTACTGTCAATGAAAATATATTTTACAGATCTTGCTTTGTCAAATATAATATTGTAGTTGTTCTATATTCCTACACCTGAGTTAATGATTTCTCTCAAATAGTACTTTCAACCATTTACAGGTTTGTGGGTCAATACACATTTTAAAATGTCCAGTAGGAAATTTTTAAATTAATTTCTATCAATTCAAAGGGATAGCAAAACTATGTGCTGATATAATAGTCTATAAAATGACATGGTGACTGAAAAATTCAATTACTTTTACTGTTATTCTAGCCTCTTGAGTTAGTTAAGCTTTATATTAAGCTAATGAGAAATGAGACTAGTAGAAAGAAATACAAAAAAGTACATATTTTAAACCCTTCTTTATTATCCAGTTTTACAGATGTGTGATAAGGTTTGGTAACTGAAGACTATCGTTGGATCAAAGTTGACTTTGGGAGTGAGCCCATGAACATTTTTTGCAGGTAGAGCAAAAGTAAACGTGAATAGCTGCATTGTGGTGAAGGCCCCCAGCAGCAACCCCTGAAGGTTTTAATGTCTTCCATGGTGAACAGGATTGTATTTGGAGGGAAGTATCTGTAACCAAACGAGACATACATGGATTCAGAAAGGCTTCCTAGGAAACGTCTCACATGCAATCAAGCATTGTGTTATGGCAACAGTGAGTTGTATGCTTACACAACAGAAATTCCCAAATGATGCCTGAAACAAGGAGGTGTAGAATAGCTACCAAAAAAGTGAGGTTTCTTAGGGGTCTTCGGACACTGAGCCAGAGAAGAGAGTGGCCTGGAAACAGTGCCAACAGTTTTGAGCAGGGAACGGATTTCATCACATTGCCAAGGGAGGGGAGCTTGGGCTCTAAATATGGGGACATAAACTGTCCCAAAGATGACATTTTGGAGTTTGGTGCATATTTTTAATTCTGAATTGAATAGGGAACTCTTATATCAGGATTCTGCATACACTGTCCATTTGTCTCTTTGTATTCTGTGGTTTTTTAGACTCTTCAGTGAGAGGCAGGATTGCTTTGGAAACAAATTGCTTTGTCTCAGCCTGGGATTCTCAAGTAACACCTCTGTCTTTCTTTGAAGAATATCTGATCTTTTCCAAGGAAGTTAAATTTGATCCAAATTTTGGAAGTGGGAAGGAACATAAAGAAAGATAAAAGGGAAAGGCAACCATTTACTTAGAAGAGACACATCACTAAGTTTTTGGCATCAGGACCAGCAACACAATACTTATTCAGTACATGCCATCATTTTAAACAATCAGTTTATGAGTACCTCTTACATGCTAATATAATGTTAGATATTGGAGCTATAAAGACAAATAGGTTCCTTCTGCCCTAAGGAAACTTATATCTTTATAGGGGACACAGATGAGTAAGCCAAAAAAAAAAAAAAAAAAAAAAAAAAACACACACACACACACAATACAGTGTGTTACATTTTCTGGTAAGTTTGCTGGAGGCACTTTGGGAGGGGGAATATCTAACCCACTTCAGGAGCAAGGGGAAAGGGTTAGAAAATATTTTCAAAGAAGTAGTGGCTGAAGTTAAGGCTATATATCAAATACGTCTTTGTGAGTGTTTGTCTAAAGGGCTATCTGTTGAATTGTGACAAGTAATTATAGCAGTGGTACTCAGAGATGAGTTAGTATTGTGTCTTGAATGTCCACCAGAGAATTCTGACTTGATAGAAATAGGAGGTCATTTAAATTTTTAAGCTGGGAGCAACAATAAGGCAGAAATTCTTCTAAAGCTTTCTGTCCATAGATCAATCAGATGGAAAGGGGATTGGAGGTGGAGATGTAAGTTAGTTATTTTGTTAAACAACTTGACTGTGGGGCAATAGAAACCAACCTGAATCTAGGAGGGTGGTTATGGGGAAAACACAAATCATCTGAATGTGAGTCTGGATTCTGAGTTTGTCTCCAGTGGCTTTTCCGTAGGAATGGTCATTTCATCCAAACTGGAGGAGAGAAGAAAACTATAAATCAATCAGCAAGAGCATCCAACTGATAACTAGTTCAAAGACTATCTGTGAAACTCTTTTGAGATGTAAATATAGATTTTGAAAGAGACATGAGAATAAACACAAACAGCAAAGAAGGTAAAAGTTGGTTCCTAGATGAAGGTACTGGTGTCCACTTACATGCCCTTTATCTTTTGTTTAACATTGCTTTTGCTACTGTTTTTTCATCATTATGAAAATTTCTTAAAAGAAGATAGGAATCACTATGTGAAAGGATTGACACCAAGTATTATGAATATGGCCAACAGAAACTTGTGGTCAAAATAAATTTTGATATACCTAAATGTTATTTGATACCAAATGATTTTTAGAAGAAAGTGATATGTGATACTTTAGAAGAAAGTCCTAGTATGAGAATTTAGCAAACTCAAAATAATTTATCATGATAAATATCAGTGCAGTAAAGGAGGAAGAAAACACTTAAGGAGCCTTTATACTTCATGCATTGTACTACGCGTTTTACTAGAATAAAAATACTTGATGAATTAGAATGTGTACAGATCATATTTTATTATCTTGGTTGAGAAGTTTAGTAGAATACATTAGTTCATCCTAACAAATAAGATTACAGCATAAACAATTTTGAAAAATAATTTAGAAATCTAAAAGTAAAAGTTCATATGAAATTTAAAACTTTAGGCCATTGATTGTGAATGGCATATTCTTGATCATACATATTTTCTACCTTTGTTTATATGTAATTCTGTTGTTGCCTATGCTTTAGGTCAATCCCTATGAAGATGGTTAATTTTCATTGCTCTGTTGGTTGAAGCTACTTCTTCTGGCAGGGTCACTGCACATTTTCTCAGGGGTGGTTCACCTCAAATTCATTGCTACCACAGGAAAATTAACAAAGCAGATATCCTACTGATCTCAGGTCACAATAATAGTTTTCCCATACATGAAGGGCAGTGTGCAATTACACAAATATAAATGAAAATTAATATTCTCTTTGTTTAAACATTCTAATTTATCTCTTGGTTATCTTTTTTGAAGTATTCATGTTTTGAGGTTAAAAAAAGAACTGAGTAAAAGCCTACTTATAACAAAATAAATTACCCTTTGATATCCAGTGCAGCAACCTAGTATTTGAGAAAAACAGAACTCCACAAAGGCTTAATATATTCAGAATTTGACAAAGTGTGACCCATTTGCAGAAGCAGAAAATACACCACAGGTATTTTAGTGTTTCTTATTTTTCTTCCAAAAGCAGATAAATCATATTTACCAGCCAAAGAAAAGAACTGTTTCCAAACTTACTTGTTTAGAGAAAAATAGAGAAACAGGGGGGAAAAATACAATAATTTTGACTCGGAAAGATAATCTCAAAATACGAAATGTGGAGGGCTTTAAAAGATCTCATAAGAATGGCAAAATATGGGAAGTATTTGATGAACTTTTTTTTAAATTATTATTATACTTTGAGTTCTAGGGTACATGTGCATAACGTGCAGGTTTGTTACATATGTATACTTGTGCCATGTTGGTGTGCTGCAGCCATCAACTCGTCAGCACCCATCAACTCGTCATTTACATCAGGTATAACTCCCAATGCAATCCCTCCCCCCTCCCCCCTCCCCATGATAGGCCCCGGTGTGTGATGTTCCCCTTCCCAAGTCCAAGTGATCTCATTGTTCAGTTCCCACCTATGAGTGAGAACATGTGGTGTTTGGTTTTCGGTTCTTGTGATAGTTTGCTAAGAATGATGGTTTCCAGCTGCATCCATGTCCCTACAAAGGACACAAACTCATCCTTTCTTATGACTGCATAGTATTCCATGGTGTATATGTGCCACATTTTCTTAATCCAGTCTGTCACTGATGGACATTTGGGTTGATTCCAAGTCTTTGCTATTGTGAATAGTGCCGCAATAAACATACATGTGCATGTGTCTTTATAGCAGCATGATTTATAATCCTTTGGGTATATACCCAGTAATGGGATGGCTGGGTCATATGGTACATCTAGTTCTAGATCCTTGAGGAATCGCCATACTGTTTTCCATAATGGTTGAACTAGTTTACAATCCCACCAACAGTGTAAAAGAGTTCCTATTTCTCCACATCCTCTCCAGCACCTGTTGTTTCCTGCCTTTTGAATGATCGCCATTCTAACTGGTGTGAGATGGTATCTCATTGTGGTTTTGATTTGCATTTCTCTGATGGCCAGTGATGATGAGCATTTTTTCATGTGTCTGTTGGCTGTATGAATGTCTTCTTTTGAGAAATGTCTGTTCACATCCTTTGCCCACTTTTTGATGGGGTTGTTTGTTTTTTTCTTGTAAATTTGTTTGAGTTCTTTGTAGGTTCTGGATATTAGCCCTTTGTCAGATGAGTAGATTGCAAAAATGTTCTCCCATTCTGTAGGTTGCCTGTTCCCTCTGATGGTAGTTTCTTTTGCTGTGCAGAAGCTCTTTAGTTTAATGAGATCCCATTTGTCAATTTTGAACTTATTTTAAAAATAATCATTGCTATAGATGCCTACAGGCCCTTTACACGCTGTGAGGATATTGAATGATTTATAGATGCTACATGTTCACACTGCCATTTTTTATAGGTAATTCCTAAGATTTTTGTCAGAAGTTTAAAATATACTGGAAAAAGAATAAACAACATTAAAATACAAACTCTGCAATCTGCCTTAGGTATTCTCCTAAGTGCTCATATTTATAATAGCACTTTTTCGATTTTTCTGCATGTGCCATTTTAATTTTTTCTCTTTTAAGAGAACATCAACTCCTTCAACATGGGGAACTCTGTCTTGCACATCCCCATGTGCCCAGTCCCTTGTACTGCACTTAACACATGATGTATCCACACATGTTTCCCAAATATAAGAAGGAGTAAACAAGCACCGGAGCTCAAGGGCAATTCTTTATGAAAAAGAGTGTATCTTAATATATAGATTGAGATACTTTTATATTACTCAAGCATTGAAAATAGATCCATATGTTCACTGATTATGTTTAAATCTTCCAGACGTCCTCTCAAAAAGGACTTACATAATACTCATTTATGTCATTTAAGTTTTATAAAGTACCAAAATAGCATGCCCTTGTAATTAACACTGTAATTAATATTACCTTAAAAATTCTAAGTGGTAAACATTATGTTGATGAACTGGGACAATGACGGAGATGTCATTTCAAATAACCACATTTTCGGAATTCACACTGAGCTATGCTTTAAGTCTAAGTCAGAGTTGGGACTAAAATTGTTTTTGTTTTTTATTTACTTCAATAAAAATTTAAAATGATATAGAGGGATTTAAAAAGGCTTTCAAAACTGCATTTAAAAATGCAGTTCCTTTATTTGTTGACAATCACTCCCAGTGGCCTGGTCAGACAGATCGGATGTGGCTAGAATGACTTGTGTCCACAATGCTGCAGATCAAATTAAAAAAAAAAAAAAAAAAGTTGGAAATGGCTTTTGGAACTCTTGGAAACCACTTCCAGTCTAAACCCACAAGGGCAGAAATAATCAATAATGGTAGCCATTTGGTTTCATTCACTTCTGTTAATGAACATGCTCACAACTCACTAAAAGCATTCTAACGGGACTGGGATGGATTTCAATTCTCTGGTGACTGACAAAAATAGAGCCTTTGACAAAACCTGTGGGGTTGCATTGCTCTCCACTGTCTTTCCCTGTCCTAATAGACAGTGGTGGTGTTTAACTCCCAAAATTGCCATCTTGGTAGCGACTGACAAACAGTTGATGTGTAACTATTAGCTAAATATCTGTGATTTTTTATTCAATTTATTTTAGGAAAGCATCTATAAACTGTAGAGCAGTTTCAAATATGTAAAATCTGTAAATGCAGGCATAAAGGTCTCAAGAAAAAATGGGCTCAGAGCTGATTTAATCAGTGTATTAATATTCAGTAGGATAATTTCCATTTCTGTAGTCTCTGCCCTAGTTCAAGTAAGCATTAATTTGTATCTAATAAAGTGTCATTAATACTGTGGATACTTAAAAATTGCTTTTGATAAATGAACAACATCTGGCTTATTGCAGCAGCCTCTTAACTTGTCTTACTTTATTTAAGTTCCTTCCAATTATTATCTATTTTATAGCTAACTGCCAAAAACAGAAATCTTCTTGTAATTTTCCACCATAGGTAATTTCTTGCTTATGAAACTAGTTTTCTTTTTTTTTTACAAAATCAAAATTCCTGTGCTTGAGATGAAATTTTCTCCATCAATTTTCCTAGGTTTTCATTTCTTACTATCTAATCTCATTAATTCATTGCACCAGCATTTTTCAAAAAGTACATTTTAATTTTTTGATGACTACCAAATATAGTCTTTATTTTAAAAATGCAGTTTAAGAATTTCTGAAATAAGTATACCAGCCCACTGGTAAACAAAGAATAGAAGGTCTCTATGATTTCAGAAAATGCCCTTTTCTCATATCCAAGTCATTTCTCATAGCCAAGTCATTCTTGGGCAAGAATGGGAGAAGATGTGAAGATAAAAGGGAAGTGATGATTGGTCTGTCTCTTTGTCAGTTGCTTCTTTTTCTCCCTAATTTTAAAACCATAATGTCTGCACATGAGAGGATTTAGTGTTCAAAGGGATAATAAATCTTTTCAGAGGGAGTGGACAGTATAGTTACTGACCAAGTGTAAATTTACTTAAGTGCACATTTAGGGGCTTCTCAGGGGTTCTAGTATTATGGTTGCATATCACCCGAAATTGAATTTTTTCCTGCCCTAATGTCTCATGTAGCAAAGGGGGAAATGAAGATAAACTGAAATGAATGAATAAATCTAGGCTTTTTAATAATTATTTTTCTTCAATAAGATAATTCAACTTAAATCTCAAGGCCTGGAATAGAAAAAGTGTTCTTTACATACCTATGCTCTATGTTGAGGTTCCCATCACACAAACAAACTTTCAAAACTTGTCAAATAAAAATAATTATTAAAAAGCCTAGATTCATAGTTTCTAGGTCACTGGAGATTTATTATTGAAAATGATAACATCTTTTCATTTACCGTTCTAATTCATCAGTTACAACTTTCCACTTCATGGAGTCCCAGAGAATCTGAGTCAATTTCTCAATCAGCTCTAGCATCAGGTATCAACTGTATTACAAAAAAACAATCTCAACAACAATTTCCAAGATCAAACATAGAAGAAAATTATAGAGTTAACTTTTTAACTTGTCTTCCTTTCTTATCCTATGCTGGGAAATATGTTTCCTACAATATTCCCCAGTTTCTTCCAAATTATGTTTTTAATGGATTCCTATACCTAAAATGAACTTTTTTGTATGGTCAAATCATTCTGCTCAGAACTGCCATTATAACATTTTGAAAATGATTCTTTATTCATTTCATTTACATGTTCAAGTGACATCTCTACAAAATGAGAAACATCCTCTTTACATTCAAGAACCTCCATAATTTGATTTCTATTTACTGTATCAGTTTTTATTTACTAATCACTTCTAAAACTCTGAATTCTATGACTCCTGAACATAATTTATACTTATTAATTTGTCTCCCCATCTAGAGTTTAACCACCTTCTCTGTTCCTGAAATGCTCTCCTCTTCTCAACCTACTCGTACTAGTCCTCATACCTTTATGGACTTTCCTTGATTCCTCAAATGGAAGCTATTTTCATTAACAAAATGTATATAGGACTTTCCATCTAATCTTGTGGCTCAATATGGCATGCAATTTTGTACTCAGCTCCCAGGGGACATTTGGCAATGTCTGGAGGCATTTTTGGTTGTCACAACTGGGGAGATGCTATTGGCATCTAATGGATAGAGGTCAGAGATGCTGCTAAATACTCCACAATATATAGGATGGCTCTCCACCATTAAGAAGTATCTGATTCAAAATGTCAATAGTGTTGCTGTTGAAAAATCCTAACCTAATTCAATCTTACACCTCTATTTCAAACCTGCCTATAATTTTACTTCTATATGTATGTGTTAATCATCTGTACTAGAATACAAGTCTTTGAAATACTAGGACCACATCTCATGCACAATTTTATTTCTTCAAAAGGCCTAGCACAAAGGCTGGTATATGTGTGGACACTCAAAAATGTTTTAAAAACCTATGTGACATAGAATATCTAGATCATCATTTATTGAATAAACATACAAGAACACCACTTACCAATAAAGCTCCATTATGTTCAACATACACTTTCTTTGATGACTTTGATAATTCAGTTGTCATTTGAGGATCTTTAAATAGTAAAAATCAATTAGCATTATTCTAGTAAAGAGAGAACTTATAGTTCAACATATATATTTATAGCTAATAAGCAGAAAACAGATTATTTTATAAACTTCACTGTATTTTTATAACAGATGAAAAGTTTCGAGTTTGAGGTTTGCAGAGCTAATATATCTATCTTTAATAGAGTTATCTTCTGCCTCTCCTATATTAAATGTGTTGAGCAGTTGTTGTTGTCTTAATGTGCTACAAACAACTAATCCTTGCTTTATGAAGGTCTCTCAGCTGCTGTACAGTAGGTGCTGGTTAAATCAGCTCCAATTTGTTTGTATTCCTCTAAGTGGAGCATCTAGCTGTTGGGCAAAATAAAACATTAAATTATCTTGCCAATTTGCTATAAATATTTGAAAATGATTGCTATTGGAATACATACACAGTTTTTTAAGTTCCCTTATGAAATGAGCTGATGCATTTTGGTTACTAATTAAATATCTATGTTTATATAATGTCCTACAGTCTCTCATATATGGAAAAATGAATATAGCTTAGTGGCTGCCTGTTCTAGAGGACAATGTTCAAGCTATTTAGCTTGCCATTCAATATCTGCCCAAAGCTGTCCCCTACTTATCTTTTAGGCATATCTCTTTCATAAATATTCTGCTTCTGCTGAATTATTTTACCTATAATTTCTTGAATATATTTCTCACTTTCCACACCTCTAATATTTATGTCTTTTTCCCTCTTAAAATCTATAGAATGAACATTTTTCTATCACAGATTGAGCTTTCTCTTTTTACCCTTCTCCCAATCCAAATTCCTCTTGAATTGCCGATCACTGTAACTCATCCATCTCACATGCTAACTCTTCCAAAATGGCCGCCCCTCATCTTTCAAACCATACTTCTGCTTTTGAAATGTTAGTCCCTATACTACTTAATTAAGCTATGCTGCCATGTTGTTGTCATTATATTTATGCATTTTTATTTTTCATTTTCCTCACATGGTAAAGTCTTGGGGGTAGGGACCGTGATTTACAGACGTCTTTGAATCACAGTCAGCACCTAGTAGTACACTGTCCTGTACATAGTAATTGTTCATTATACAGTAGTTAAATAAATGTTGAATGAGTTATGATTTTGCATTAGAACTAGAAAATGGTGTGACAACCCGGTTATAAAACATAAAACAAAGTGTTTTTCTGATAGATATAATAACCAAATAATCAAACCATAATATATACAAATATAGTAACCAAAAGTGATGTGGGGACCTTGTTTGGATTTTGATTTGAACAAACTAACTGTAAATGGGTATTTGTGGCACAACTGGTGAAATGCATAATAGATGATACTAAGAATCTATGGTATGAGAAAGGCATGCTCATTATGTCAAAATAGTTATCAGTTAGAGATGCACACTGAATAACTTTCAAATAACAAGTTTGATATTTGCTTTAAAATATTAGATAAAATGTATGAGAAATAATAAAAAAAACTTGGCAGCATTTGTCAAAATATTGATAATTATTGAAGCAGAGTAAAGAGTACATGGTATACATTATACTATACCTCTGTAGTTTAATGTAGGTCTAAATATTTCCATAAAAAGTTTAAATAGACATAAAGGAAAATGCCATAGAATAATCTTTCAGTCATTCATATAGTAGGAAAGTAATTATTAAGTTACTTAAGACACTGACTATAAGAGATTCTATGATTTGAATACATTTTCATTTTACAGTGTGTAACCCAACACCTAAGACCAATTCAAATACAAAAACATTCCACTGGTTGCTTAATGTCCTACTCCCTTGTATACCACCCAAGGCTATTGAATGCTTAGTGAGTCTGGCTTTTCACTGTTCTCTAAGGACCCATCACTGTTACTCATAACTGTCTGGCTTAAGAAGGTTGGAGTCAACACAATAGATAGTTACTGACTGAAAAGGATTTACTCTCTTATCCTGAGAATGACCAACAGCCCTGTAAAAGGCAGAACACTTCTTTATCTTTGTTAGCTGAACTGGATCCATTCATCTTCAACATCACAGAAGAAAAATGATGTGATGAAAACCTTTCTTGAATAGACATACCAGAGATCAGGTAAGAAATTTTGGACATGGCCAAGTAGCAAACAATAAAGAAAGATGGCATTCAAAGGCAGAAAACATATGAATTGGTGATTTGAACTTCAGACTTACAGTCTTTCAGTTTTGTCGCCACTTTCTTAGACAAACTCCTCTTTATTACTCCTTCCATTGATCTGAAGCCTCTAACCTTGGTTATCTGTTAGCACGCTCAAAACCACCCCCAAAAAAGCATAAAACCTAAGTCATATTCTTGTGCATGCTATGGGAACACAACCTCCAAAGAAGTGCTCTGCCTTCTCAGTTTTCAATCACCATTAAGCTCTTCCCTCCATTGTCAGAGATGCACCTCCATTTTCCTATGGATTACTTAAATAACTTCTGTATTGGTCTCTTGTTTCCAAGATTTTCTCTCTGCAACACACATAATGGAATGCTTTTAGGTTAGGCTTCCTAAAATACAGCACTTAGCATGCCACTCTCATATTCAAAAGCTTCCACTGGCTCACCATTGCCTGTTAAATAAAGCACATTGCCGTTCACTCAGTATTTCAGACCTCACAAATCTAAAGTCTACACTCTAATCTTGACTTTCTTTAAGCAACTTGAAACTGTAAACCAACTGAACTAGTTGCAGGTCCCTGAAAATACTCTGTACTTTGGGGTCTCCATTCTTTCCTCCTGTTAGTTAAAGCATCTCTTTTTAAACATTTCCACTCAAGGTACCCTCCAATTCTTCATTTCATCATCCCTTAGCATGTAATCTTGTCAGAATTGGCCTCTTACTCTGTAAGAATCTATAGCTCTTCATGTGTATCTTTCTTAGATATTTCTCTCACTAGTATTATAATATGTTATGAGCTTCATTTCTCTGGTCAACCATAAGCGCTTTGAAAACACAACTGCTTTATTTCATCTTTGTATCCCTAGTCTCTGGCACAGTGGTCTGTACTTACAATATGTTTAATAGACATTGGTTAAAGGGCTGATAGAAAGAATATTAAAGGTTCTATGCAAAGATAGAGATAGAGGTCAAGCAGTGCTTTCACAAATTGAAACATCATGATATTTAAATTCTAGTTATGAAATAAATTATTGTCATTCAATTAGGGCATTGCTGGAAATTGGATTAAGTACATTCTTTGTTTTTTCACCTTTAGTCCTCTCAATTCTATAATTTTAGAGATGACGGAACTGAGATTTGGAGAGATGAGGTAGCTTGTTGGTATGCGGTCTGAGATTCCCTTTCTAATTATACTATTAACATGTCTATGGAGCTCCAGAGTTTTGATGACATACCATGAGGGACACCTCAAACTAAAACAGACAATAATCTCACTTCCCATTCCCTACTTCTGTAACAGAAAAATTTGTTTTCTTTGTTTTGTATAGTGAAATTTTATTTTTTATTTTTACCTTGAATACCTGGAAGATAGGACATTCACTTTTTTATTTGCCATTATATCCTCTATTACCTTTGTCTTATACCGGATAATTTTACATACTTAAATTATTTACTTGAATGTACTGAAATATACAACTCTTCACTTAATGTACTAAGAATGATTTTAAGGCCAGGCGCTGTAGCTCACACCTACAATCCCAGCACTTTTGGAGTCCAAGGTGGGGGGATTGCTTGAGCCCAGGAGTTCAAGACAAGCCTGGGCAACAAGGTGAAACTCTGTCTCTATATTAAAAAAAAATAAAGTTAGCCTGGCATGGTGGAGTATGCCTGTGGTCCCAGCTACTGGGGAGGCTGAGGTGGGAGGATGTCTTGAGGTTGCAGTGAGCTGAGATCACACCAATGTACTCCAGCCTGGGTGACAGACTGAGACTCCACCTCAAAAAAAAGAAGAAGAAATTTTAAATAAAAATTTAGGTTACATTTACTTCCACAAAGAAGACACATCATGAGCCTATGCACCTATTTAAATAATGCCATCGTGTTCCAACAAATATGTTCTAATCCACTTTTGGAACTATTCTAAGAATCAATATATGTCTCATAAGAAAATACATTTTATTACTTTATAGTCTAAATTCCTACTTGTCCCAAATAGTTTTGGTTCTTTAAAGAAATGTTTTCCACCCTGAAAGGATAAAACCATTGTGAGAATACTTAAAATGTGATGTTAAAATCCAATGCCAAAAATGACATTTAAAAATTATTTCGGGAGATGCAAGGCTCACAAAGGTGGCCACTTAAAAGAGAGCTTGAGTGTGCAAATACTGATATGTGTGCATGTGTACATATATATATTATGGTATGTACATATATTTTGATATGTATGTTCTGATATGTATATACATATGTACACACTGTATATTTTTATTTCCCTAGTTATAGCTTATATCAGAAATATCAAGCAAATTCTGTATATAAAAAAATTCAAAAAGATTCAAAATGAAAAATTTCTTCTGGGAATGAGAAACAAAATTTTTTATGACAAAATTTAGCAACCTTTCATGTTAAAAACTCTCAATAAACTAGGTATTGAATGAACATACCTCAGAATAACAAGAGCCATCTATGATGAACCCACAACCAACATCATACAGAATGGGCAAAAGCTGGAAGCATTCCCTTTGAAAACAGGCATAAGACAAGGATACACTCTCTCACCACTCCTATTCAACACAGTATTGGAAACCCTGGCCAAGCAATCAGGCAAGAGAAAGAAATAAAGGGCATCCGGCCGGGTGCGGTGGCTCAAGCCTGTAATCCCAGCACTTTGGGAGGCCGAGATGGGCGGATCACGAGGTCAGGAGATTGAGACCATCCTGGCTAACACGGTGAAACCCCGTCTCTACTAAAAAATACAAAAAAACTAGCTGGGCCAGGTGGCGGGCGCCTGTAGTCCCAGCTACTCGGGAGGCTGAGGCAGGAGAATGGCGTGAACCCGGTAGGCGGAGCTTGCAGTGAGCTGAGATCCGGCCACTGCACTCCAGCCCAGGCGACAGAGCGAGATTCTGTCTCAAAAAAAAAAAAAAAAGAAAAAGAAAAAAAGAAATATAGGGCATCCAAATAGGAAGAGAGGAAGTCAAACTATCCCTGTTTGCAGACAACATAATTCTACCTGTAGAAAACCCCATAACTTCAGCCCCAAATCTCCTTGATCTGAAAAACAACTTCAGCAAAGTTTCAGGATACAAAATCAATGTACAAAATTCAATTCCTATACACCCTAACAGCAGCTAAGCCAAGAGCCAAATCAATAACACAATCCCATTCATAATAGCCACACAAATAATAAAATACCTAGGAATACAGCCTACTAGGGAGGTGAAAGATCTCTACAATGAGAATTACAAAACACTGCTCAAAGAAATCAGAGATAATGAAAAGAAATGAAAACATTCCATGCTCATGGATAGGAAGAATCAATATCATTAAGATGGTCATACTGCCAAAACAATTTACAGATTCAATGCTATTCCTATCAAACTACCAATGACATTCTTCACACGACTAGTAAAATTATTTTTAAATTTATATGGAACCAAAAAAAAAAAAAAAAAAAACCCAAATAGCCAAGGCAATCATAAGCAAAAAGAACAAAGCTGGAGGCATCATGTTACCTGACTTCAAACTATACTACAGGGATATAGTAACCAAAACAGCATGGTACTGGTATGAAAGCAGACACATAGACCAATGGCACAGCATAGAGAGACTAGAAATAAGGCCACACACCTACAGCCATCTATTCTGACAAAGCCAACAAAAACAAGCAATGGGGAAAGGACTCCCAATTCAAAAATGGTGCTGGGATAACTGGCTAGCTGTGTCCCAGATGATTGAAACTGAATCCCTTTGTTACACCATATATAAAAAAATATCAACTAACAATGGATGAAAGACTTAAATGTAAAACCTCAAATTATAAAAACCCTGGAAGACAACTTAGGCAATATCATTGTGGACACAGAAATTGGCAAACATTTCATGAAAAAGACCCTAAAAGCAATAGCAATAAAAGCAAAAATTGACAAATGGAATCTAATTAAACTTAAGAGTTTCTGTACAGCAAAAGAAACTATCAACAGAGTAAACACAACCTACAGAATGAGAGAAAGTATTTACAAACTGTGCATCTGACCAAGGTCTAATATCCAGAAATTACAAGGAACTTTAAGCAAATTTACAAGAAACAAAAACAACCCCATTAAAAAGTAGGCAAAAGACATGAACAGACATTTTCTAAAGAAGACATACATGTGGCCAACAAGCATATGAATAAAAGCTCAATATCACTAATCATTAGAGAAGTGCAAATCAAAATAATAATGAGATACCATCTCACACCAGTCAGGATGGCTATTACTAAAAAGTCAAAAAATAACAGGTGCTGGCAAGGTTATGGAGAAAAGGGAATACTTATATACTACTTGTGGGAGTGTAAATTAGTTCAACCACTGTGGAAAGCAGTATGGTGATTTCTCAAAGAGCTAAAAACAATTACTGTTCAACCTAGCAATCTCATTACTGGGTATATACTCAAAGGAATAAAAATTATTCTACCATGAAGACACATGCATGCCAACGTTCTTTGTAGCACTATTCACAATAGCAAAGAACGGAATCAACCTAAATGCCCATCAATGAAAAATTGAATAAAGAAAATGTGGAACATGTACACCATGGAATGCTACACAGCCATAAAAAAGATGAGATCATGTCCTATGAAGGAACATGGATGGAGTTGGAGGCCACCATACTTAGCAAACTAATGCAGAAACAAAATGAAATATCGCATGTTCTCACTTGTAAGTAGGAGCTAAATAATGAGAACACATGGACACATAGGATGGAAAAAACATACACTGGGGCCTATCAGAGGGTGGGAGATGGGAGAAGGAAGAGGCTCAGGAAACATAACTATTGGCTACTAGGCTTAGTACCTGAGTGATAAAAAAAATCTGTACAACAAACCCTTGCAAGATGTGTTTACTTACATAAGAAACCTTGACATATGCACTTGAACCTAAAATAAAAATTAAAAAAATAAAATAAAACAACAAAAAAATACTTTGGCAGCCCAAAAAACTGTATTTGAGTAGTTCTTGGAGCTTTGAAAGAGCAGATGGATAACCTAAAGATATTTCAGGTTGGTATTTTCAAATTGTTTCCTTCCTTGAATGCTATCCCCAAAAGATTTAACTGTGTGTGGAAGTTGGTGGAGAAGACATTGGTAGTTAAATGTGTTGGTCAGATACAGCTCTGAAAGACCTATGGAGCATAATAACACATTAAAGGCTTAGGGACATTTGCCAAGAAAGAAATGTTTAACATCATTTTTCCGATACATTTGATAACGAATCACTTTTTCTTTTTTAACATGACCTTTAATAACATTCCCAATATCTACCTTAAGTAGAACCCTAACAGTCAGGCTGATGATTGTGATGGTGGT